GTGTGTGTGTATAATATATATATATATATATATATATATATATATACACACACACGCATAAATAAATAAATATTTATTTATTCATTATTTATTTTTTTATTTTTTTGCAGTGCTGATATATACAATTACATTGAATGAACTGCAAGTATTTTTGTCTTGTTTTCCAGTACAAATATCTAAGCATTCTTAAATCAGGATATATTTACTTGAGAAGCAAAATGACTTAAGATATTACGTCGTCTTTTCGGAAAAATCTATGCAAAAATTAAGTGAGTTTATGCTTAAAACAAGAAGGGAAAAAATTGGCAGTGGGGTAAGATAAATTTAATTCAAAGGGAAAACAAGATTATTTTTCATACCTCACTGCCAGATTTTTTATTTTTATTTTTAAGCAGAAATTAACTTAATTTTGATACTTTTGTCAGAAACTAAGAATCAGGTCATTTTGATTCTCAAGTAAATGTATCCTCATATAAGAAAGTTTAAATATTCGTACTTTTTTTGGGGCAGTGAAATTACCATATTTATATAGAATAGATATATATGGCTCCAAGGTACTACTATAATGGCACATGCAAAAAACACCATGGTACATATAAAAAAAAAAAAAGTATATGTGAAGATGAAGTACCTGCCCAAGTAACATGGTGTTACTATGGTAAATGTCCAAAAACAATGTATTACCATGGTATATGTACTAAAATGCAAGATATTGACATCGTACTTGTCCCAAAATTGCCATAATACAGTACATTTGTAAGTAGCATGTAAAGGTTGCAAATAAAACATGTACAAATGAGAAATATTCCCATACTTTATGAATGATGGTCTGTGGTCCTTCATGGGTTTGTAGCATGAATCCGATAGTTGCTGAACTTCAGTAAATCCTCTTGTGTGCAAGAACAGATTCAGCAGGAATGAACCCCAAAACACAGCAGACGCCATGCTGACTGTTAGACGCATCAGAAAGAGTTTGAGCACCCTCTGCAGCACTGGAGAGAAGGTCAGCAACATTATGTTACACATACAGTAACAAGCACATTTTTGTACTTCTATAAATGTGTCACTGCTAAACTATTTCAGTGAATTGAAAACAAGTTAAAAAAGCTATTAAAACCTTTATATTAATGGATCTGTTAACCCATTACATATGTTTTGTATTACACAGAAAACCAATCCAACCTACAGTAAATAGATTTTTCTTATTTCACAATACAGTATTACTAAAAGTGAAACTGAAAGCTGCACATCAGTCTTAAAATGTTTCACAATCCCTCAGCAATGCGGCTAATAAGCACATTTGTCATTTAAGGCATTCAAAGGTGTTTAGAGATCCATGAATTTGAGAGAAAGTACATTCTGAGGATACCTGTTGGTTCCTCTGTTTGGTGTAGTTTGTGTTTTACAGTAGAACTTGTACATTTTGAAGGATTGAAGATGTAGTGATTCATTCTCACCAGCAGGTGGCACTAAAATGCTGTGTAATAATTTTTAGTATTTCAAGTATTTAGTAACCTTAATATATAGTAGTATTTTAGTATATGTTGTATCTTAATATTTAGGGTTAGGGTTCATTTTATTTTACATATGTGTAATTTTTGGTTTAGATTTGAATTATAAAAATTTATGTTAAAATATTTTAAATTACTTTTCAATTAGAAAAATTCAAAATGATTAAATAAATTATATGCATTTTCAATTTAACAAGACAGTACATGTATGTAAGATAATGTCAAAATTAGGTTTATAGATGTTAATAATATAAATATAATCTATAAAGAAAAATAATTAAAATGATTAAAAAAATGAATAAAATGTTAAAATTACTAAATTATATACATTTTCAGTTTAGCAGGACATGCTCATTAAGGGAATGTCAAAATTAGGCTTATAGAAGTTAATAGTATACATTTAAATTATATAGAAAAATGTTTAACAATTATTAAAAAATAATTAATAAAACATTTAAAAATATTAAATAAATTATATAAATTTTGAATTCAAGATCAATTTTTCGATTCAATTCAAGACAGTGTGCATGTATGTATGTATACATAATGTCAGCATTCACATGTCTGAAAATACAAAAATACAGCAAAACATCTTTAAAATACTTAATAAATGGGCCAAATAATCCATCAAAACATGTTTGTGAGGGTTAAGGTTATGCTGTAGTAATTATAATTCAGTTAAGCACAAAATAATTCAATAATAGGTCCAAATGTTTTGACCAAATGCTCCCAAACCCATCTTTATAAAGTGATTAAAAGTTTAAAGGTTTGCTTTTGTCTACTATCTTTTTAACTAGTTAATGGCTTAATTAAGCAGAATGTAAGTCACTGAGAGGTTCATCATGATGCGTGTTTGGAATTTCTTAACAGGAAGTTTGCGTCTGTCGTTTCTTGATCTAACTTTTGTGTAATATAATTATGGTCAGTACTCATAAGTGTGGGAAGTTGTTTAATGATCAGAGTTTGTCCACTCAGCAGACTGTATGGACTCAGATTGCCATGTGATTCAATTTGACGTTGTTCTCTCGCTTCCACCTGCACTTCATCATATCCTCTCAGTTCAATTCATGTGTATCTCCTGACTCTATCAAAAAGACGAGAGCTTTTCCTCGGTCTTGACAAGATTAAAGGTCTGATTGTGGACTTTCAGAGGAAGCAGAAGAAAATACAGCCTCCATTAAGATCAGTCAGACCCCTGTGATGAATGTTAAAGGGTATGTTCACAATGTCATACTAACATACTGTTTTTTGCAGTATGCAGCATGTGTAGCATGCATAGTATGTACATTTTCTCAAGTCAAAATAACCTTATTTATTTCTGAGATGATTTATATTAAAAATAAAAAAAATTATAATAAAAAATCCAAAATAAATGATACAATTATTTTATAAAAATAAAATAAATTATATGTTAAATTTAACAAAGTACATGTATGGTAAGATAATGTCAACATTAAGTTTATAGAAGTTAATAGTATAAATATACATTATATAAATTATAATCAATTTTTAAAATATTACAAATTAAAATATTTAAAAATTAAGTTATATACATTTTCAATTTAACAGTAAATGAACAGTGCGATAATGTCAGATAGGTTTATAGAAGTTAATAGTATAAATATAAATTATGTAAGTTATAAATAAAAATATTTTTAAATGATAAAAAAATTAAAACAATTTAATTATATCAATTTTCACTTCAACAAGAAAGTACATGTATGGTAAGCTCAATTACAGTGTGGTGTCCCCCAAGGATCAATTTTAGGACCCTTGTTATTTTCATTGTACTTGCTTCCCCTGAGCCTTATTTTTTGGAAATATAGCACATCTTATCTTACCTGGCCTGGTTACCCATTTAGGTCCTCTGTTGTCAAACGTACAAGATCGTGTGAGGAGTCTTGGAGTGATTTTCGACACATCACTACTTTTCAAGTACTTATCTTAGTATCTCTACAACCAGTGAAATTTTGTTCAGGTGTTGCTAGGATGTTTACTTGCCTATTTTATTTTAGATAACATTTATTTTTTCAAGTAACAACATGTATGTTTTTAGTTTTAGTTAACTATAATAACACTGTTCTGATGTTACTTTGTGGTCACTATGTTTTTTTTCAAGGTGATTGCTAGGGTGTTTAAAGGCCCAAATCAAAAGAACTCTTCCTAAGTGTCTATGAGACATTGCCTTAGCACACACTACAATCATTACTTGTTTTACACTGGTATCTAGAAGCCTAACTGTAAATTCATTTCAGATTCATCTAGATCTAAATCAGCTGTGATTCAGGCAAGCTTGTTAAGCTTCTATAAATGGCTCTTAATGGATGTTTTAAGTCAGATGCCTTGCATGTGGATCTGTGCCAGTCACAAATACTGCAGTTTTATTACATATTCCTGTGACTCTATTAATTAAAAATTAGTTTGCGGTCGATGGTAAGCAAAAGAGCGCAACATCCC